AATGAAGCATAGCCTGCCATTTCGCCATATGAACCGGGTCAAAATTGCTAGGTATTGCTGGTGATGCTAGAGATCATAAATAAATACATTCCATCCAGATTCTTATTCATTTATGAAAGTAACAACAACGACAATGGGGAAGCGACAACATTCAACAATAACAACTTTTTCGAATTGGGGGAAGAAATCAACAAAACGAACGAATAAGAGGCTAAAACGTGTGAGGAAGGGATGTTAGAGGGCATGGGGTGGCTGGCGTCTCTGGGTTCAGTTCTCCTTGGTGTTGGGCACGAGCAGGTTGCACGCTTCGAACAGCTCGTCGTACAGTTCCTGAAAATAAAGTTTTAAAAAAATAAGAATCCATTGATCAATACGGTCAGCTGCATTCAGAGGGCTCCACCGCACACCGAATTGCATAGAAAGTCAAACCAAAGTAAACTTGCCTGATACGCCGCGTTTGGTCGAATCAAAAGAATAATGATGGATCTGCGGAATCCGGCGGCCAATCCGAGACTCTCCCTCGACGGTGTGTAGACGTACGGGACTCCCTTCTCCTCACAGAACGCCGGAACGTGAGAGTAGATGTCGATTGGGGTTACATTCCCTAAAACGTATGTGAAAGGAGCGAAACCCTCAAATACCTGCTAGCACGACGATGCCCTTCTCGTTTTTGCGGAGCCCCTTCGAGACATCAGCGATTCCAAAGCTTAAAAATAGAAATTACAAAACGAACAAGGGGTATTTGCTTACCGAACTGCCGTCTTCACAGCTGAAGCCTTCTTGACCAGTTTGTAGACCTTCTTGGCTAGCTTGCGGTTGGCCATTGGCGATGCGATTTCGTTGGCCTGCAATAGATGGTTGGGAAAACAGTAGATGTAACGGACACGACATAAAATACAGTCAGAAAAGCGGTAAATAAAATATACCAAGGCGCACTGCTCCTCGTAGGCGTCCTTGTCCGTCACCGGGGCGCCGGCCTCCTCATTGACCGTCGTATCCATCGTCTCGTCGAGTGCCAGTGACTTTTTGCCCATTTTCCTGGAAAAAAAGTGTTAGAAAAGGTAATTCACCGGGAAAGGAGGCAAATAAACGAAAAAAAGCACAGGGGACGAATTTTAGAAGTAAAATCCGAGAAGGGGAAGGAAATCACGCAAACGTTCGTGCGCGCGGGCACAGATTGACCAGATACGGTATTTGGTCCACCGAATAGTTTGGAAATTGTTTATAGTAAAGTAACGGAATCAGTTATACAAAGGTAAAAAAGAAAAATTTGCGTTGAAAACGTTGTTTGAAAGATTTGTAGAAATGGTGGGTTGATGCGGGCGAAAAACGGGGAAAGAGTTTCGCCAAGAACCGCCGCCGGATAAAGCCCAAATAGGATGCTTGGGATGCTTTTTACATATACGCGTCCACAAACCGACTTGACAGTTCGTAACAAAGAACACGCGACGACAAAGCATTGGTATACCTTACAAGAGCTTCAGAACAATTTAGAAAATCGGTTTGATAACCATAGCAAATACGGTAGCTGCTGGGTAAAAAAAACCCAAATCTGAGGCCAGACAGGTACGCACTTCTTTATTAGCGTTTATTTGTTACACAGCAGGGCACAAGAGAACGAGATATAAAATGGCGATGGGGTTGTGGGTGGGTGGTGGAGACGCGACGACGGGGGGGCACTGGCAGCAAATCGACGGTGGTGATGGCTGGAGGGACAGGGAGACGAGAGGATGTAGCTTTTCGATGTCTTCATGATGATGGTGGTCGGGGGTCCTCAGTCGAATTTGCAGCCTGGTTTGCACTTGCGGCACAGCACGATCGTCTGGTGGACGGCGGGGCCCTGGAGGAGCTGTTCCTTGCCGCCCTGGCCGTACGAGGCGCGCTCGTTCTTGATGTCAACCTGAAAGGGAATGGCGGTTAAATGGTTATACACAGAAAGCTCACCTTTCCAAGGATTTGCTTGCCGCCGACGGTGATGACACCGGGGGAGATGTCGCCCTTGTAGTGGTTCACATGCACCGGATGCCATTCCTTGTCGCCGAACTTGGCGGCCTCTGGGTACGGGATCCAGCCATAGTCGAAACCGCGCACGTGCTCCGACAGCTCGAAGAGGATCTAGAAAAAGGATGCTTAGAAAGATACCACAAGAATCGATTTGGTACTGGTTCGTCAGCGGAAGGAAAGGGAAAGAAAGGAAAAAAGGAAAACGAAAAGAAAAAACCAAATTTGTTTTGACTAAAATATCAAAAATGAATCCCGCCGCTAACGCACCGGAACCCTCCATTACCTGCAGCGATCCGATGTTGGTCTTGTACTCGTTGCCGCCCCAGGAGAAGTTGGCGGCGATCTTTCCGCCCTCGTTCCAGACGCGTCCCATCACCGGCTCTCCCTGTTGATACCAGAGGGCCACGTACTGGTCGGCATTCTCTCCCGGCAGCGTGTCCAGCGACTTTCCGAGTGCCTTCACCGGGCACTTGGTCGGCCACGGGTCTCCGGCGCGCAGGTCGGCCCACTCGTTGAGCATGACCCGGATCACGGGCTTCTTGCCGCATCCGGCACACTCACATCCGGGCGGGCCGCCCTTCAGCTCGCGGAAGATGACGAGCATGTCGTTGAGCTCGCCGCCGACCTTCTTGATGACCTTCTTGTTGTTGGAGAACCATCCAATCTCGGTCTTGTTATCGATGTAGCCGAGGAGGCCGCCTTCGGGGGAATTTGGCCAGTAGATGGGGATCGAGTCGCCGCACTTCAGCAGCTCGGCGTCGGTCTTGTCGAAGCGAGTGCTGTACTTCACCCAGCTGTACCAGTAGCCGAGGGTGTTGTGGTCCCCCTTGTATTGCAGCACCTGGAAAAGTAAATTGAGAATGACAGAAACTGTTCTTTACTATTCTTAGGCGTAAAAACTCTTATCCACCAATTTTTCGACGCAAAGTGGCCAGTTTTCGATAAGAATGTCGATATTTTCAAATTTGGAAGGGTTTTAGTTTTTTAATTTTAACCACTTTTAACCATGCGTGGCGGGTTTTCAGACCGATTTTCGAAAAAAATGAGAAAAAAGCGATTTTTTTGGACGGAAATTTCGAGTTTTTGTCTTGAAATACGGTTAAAATTTGTAGAAATAATGATTAGACCCTTACTAGATTCTGGAAAAATTCTAAAAAGAAAAGAGAAGCTATGCAAACTGGTACCTGAATCTGCCCTCCGAGATCCTTGGCTCCGGTCAGCTCGGCGTCCTTGTAGGCGAACGAGCACTCGACGACACCTCCGTTGTTCCACGAGCGGCCATGGATCGGCTTGCCGTGCTTGTACCACAGCGCCACGTACATGTTCTGCTGCCCAGTCACCTAAACGTTGAGCATTAGCAGTGTCAGGATACGGAACGTACCTTGACGGGGTTGTCGGGGAATGGCGAGCCGATTGGCTGGAAGGCCCAGGTGTCTTCTTTCGCGGCAGGCATCTCGGGTGGATGGGCGGAGAGAGAGGTTGAAGCAGTCACCGAAGTGACTTGGGTAACCCGCGAGCCCGGCTGCTTCTTTTTGTAGCTGGATCCCCATGCAGATTGGGGGCAATTTCCGGGTGGATAATTACTTCTATGCAAGAGTTGTCATTTCTAGAAAAAAAAATGCAAATTTAGGAGGTGAGGAGGTACTGAGCTGTTAGCGGGGGGCTTACTTTTGCCCATATTACTCAAAGGTCATAATAATTGAATTATCCGTTTTAAAGTTATAAAACCAATAAAAAATTATTATCATTTTTTGATTCTTCGCAAAAAACGATAAAAATTACCAAAAATTTCAAAAATTTGAGATTTTCTCAGAATCTTTTAGCATCTTTTTTTTTGGGGTCAAAACCTACTAAAAACGTATTATTCTTCGGAGATAGCTAAGGCCCCCCGCGCTAACAGTCCGGTACCATTTTTGTCTGGAACGTGTCAGTGAAAAATCTCAAAATTTTCAAATTTTGCAAGTGTTTTCGGATTTCTTTTGTGAACCTACTAAAACACTATAAAATGCCAATATTTATAGCTAGGTAAGGCGAGAAGCCCCCCCCCCCGCTAACAGCCCAGTACCGAAATGCTAAATACGTAGATTAGAAAAGGAACGGTTACGTCTATCGAAAAAAGGTTGGAGCGCTGATTTAATTGTTCAATTGACTGATAACTTAATTCAGAATATTCAGAATATGATATAGCGCAGAGCGCCAAGCACTTTATACCCGTACTATGTACACTACAAACCCAAATAAAAACAGTATCACAATGCAAAAAAGTTCAAGGCACAAGGGAAGGAAATTCTAGCAATAAAATAGAGATTCGGTTCCAACAAGAAGATATCACAGATTTCAGCTTCGTTGCTTCGAGCGGCATGCGGCCAATCGTGTCACATCCACGGCGCCCAGGTGCCGAATTTTGAATGTGGCCAGGGTCTCGTCGAATTCCTGAAATAACGAGTTGGAATAAGTAAAAGTGGTTATAAAGAAACGTTTTTTTTGTCACATAGGGTTTGTAAACGGGATCAAGCCGAATTTGTGCAGAATGTTGGCTGATACGCTCTAGAAAAAAAAACTACGAAACGTCCATATTAAAGGGGCTCAGAAGTCAAAATTCGTGCGTGCGGGGATTGAACCTATGGGTCAAAAAACGAAAGGGTCACTGCCGAGAAGTGCCAAAAAAGTTATTTGATTGCGAAAAAACGTAAAATGGTTGAGAAAAACCGAATTCTTTTTGGGACAAAAACGACATTTTGAGTGCGCGGCGATTACATGTCGTAATTCCTTGTAAGCCACCCAATCTCTCGATCTCGGTCATTCTTTGGTCAATATTCGTAATTTAAAAGTCTGGAATGATCAAAATTCGTTGAGGATTCCAAAAATAGTATCAGAATTTTGAAATTCAAGCGTTTTCGCGTCCAAACAGAGGCAAAAAATCATGCGGCGCGGTCGCGTTGCGGCCGCATCTGGCTATTTGCCAGGAATCACAGCAGGGGGCCGTGGACCAGATTTCGGAGCCCCTTTAACGAAAGTTGAGAAGATTCAAAATGCCAGAAAATGCTCATTCGAAAGGGTGTCTTTTCGGTGGAAGAATTGCCAACTAAGTTTTCGCAAAATGTTTGGTACTGAATTGTTAGCGCGGGGGGGGGGGGAATAAAATTTTTCTGCCTATTTATACCTGCCGATAAAATATACTGTATTCCTATAGTTTTTAGTAGTTTTTGATGGCTGGAAAGTTGGAAAATATTAGAGAATTTTTTTGAACATTAGAGGATATCGACTTTTTTGGCCATTTTCATACGTTTTTAAGCAACTAGACAAAAGTTTAGACAATTTTTATGCGTGTGTAATTTTATGAACTTTTCGTGTCGAAAAAGTGTGTAAGATGCAGTAAAGACGGGCCCGAGATTACCGTAAAAATTCTAGCACCCTCCCCCCCCCCGCTAAAAGTCCAGTACCATGTATTTTCCAAAAAATTTTTGTAGCTGTTCAAAATAGGCAATTTCCGGCCATTTCGACACTTTAAGGCTTCATAACTTCTCGAATTTGTCGTTTCGCATATTCCATAAAACGCGTTTTCATCAGCAAAAATCCTGTAAGTTAGCCTAGGTTCCGTTTCAAAATTCCATGACGACGACAAAAAACCCTTATTCTTCTTCGAATCTCCTCCTTCTTACATCGGACAGCTGTACGTCGGCATCCTTGAGTAGCTGCTGAAGAGCATCGTTGGGTAGCGCCAAGAATCGGCCCGCGTCCAATATCTTGTTCAGCGGCTAAAAAGATCTTTCCATTTGAAAAGCGATAAAATCCGGAACCTCTTGCCATTCGGTCGATTTGGGCCTCGAGAATCGGTGTGCGTATTTGACCAATTCGGGCTTCAGGTACGTGTCGAGTTCCTTCAGCAAAAGCTCGCCACCGGCTTGGCTGAAATTGCGAGTTATCAACTTGGAAGAAAAAACCCTACGAAAATAGCGTATTCATCAGCACATCCTCGAAGAAGACCGTCGAAAACTTTTTGATAAATGAGGTGTAGAAGGGTTGGCCGGCTTCTTTCGAGATTCCTCGACTGCAATCGGCCAGGCATCGCCTGGAAATTGTGATAATTGATGGGGATAATTCAGAAATTGCGACGGGGCGAACGAACTTTTTTACGATTCCTAGACGTAAAAAGGCACCAGTTTTGATAAAAAACATAGATTTTTCAAACAAAAATCCCCAATTTTCGACTATTTTTCTGAGCTCTCAGAACTTGTTTTTCCACTGAAAATTTCGTTAAATTTTACTAAAAATACTAGTAAAAATACTAAATCTAAACCTGCAAAACTCAAAGAAAACTCACATAAGCGTTAAGCGTAGAGCGAGAAAAGCCGATTGTTCCGAGATTTCATCATCCGTACTTGGGTAGAGCCTAAAAAAGTGCATTTAAAATTATAAAAGAGATAGCTAAAAAAAACAAATTTTAAAAACGAAAAGTAAAAGAAATAATTTTCTTATCGAAGTTAAAATTTACCAATTCCGCCCCTGGTACGCGAGCAGCGAGTCGCCGAGCTCGTTGATCAAGGCGTTGGCGAGCTGTTCGGACATCCTCATCCAAAGTAGGCTAAAAGCCTCGGTATTCTCCCAGCACCGACTTTCAAACCTGTACAATTCGACGGTATCTCTGAGGGCCGGCATCAAGAATGGGTATTTCTCGGAATCTCGCCATTCCTCCATAATCGTCAGAACGTACCTGAAATATCAACAGTTATGTAATGAACTAAAAACGTACCAGACAGAGTTAACGACCCGTTGGAAAAGAGAGCTGAGTGGGTTGTCGAGGGAGCGTCCAATTTGCGCTAGCCGCTCTTGGAACTCGTTCACCAGCAAGATGATCACGGAAGCGACGCTAAAAAATGAGCCATACACCATTGATAAATTAGAAATAACAAAAATGCATTAAATAACAAAGAATAAAATCAAAACAAATAATAAGAATACCTTGTGACGGCTTGCGGGTCGGGTAATGCCGCGGTACGATAGGCCAGGCGGGAGATGATCTCGTAGAAGACGTGCGCGCATTCCACGGTGCGGAACTGAAAAAAAATGCATGCATGAATGTGCTATTGGTTTTGGTAGTTGTTTTACTCACTAACTAACGGGCCAAAAAATCCGTTTTGGACTATTAGCGGGCAAACCAAATTTTTCCCAGTAACCCGATACGGTCCTACAAAGAAAGATAACCCATTTTTATGGCATTTTATACAGTTTTCAGATCGAAAAACCACACTAAAATTGAAAAATTTGGTTAAAATAAATGAAATATTACCAAATCAGGCAAACTTTTTAAAATTTCGAATTTTCAAAAATATTTTTATAACTTTCTATAAATCAAACACTGCCAAGCACACTACAAAAATCCAATATAGTAGTAATACGTAAGACTAGGTGGAAAAATAAGAATTAGCCCCCGCTGACAGCCTAGTACCAAAAATTACGCTCAGAGTCCAAAAACGATCTGCACGAACCAGAACCAAAAAATCACCGGATCAGCATCGTCGAGCCCGAGCGGCGCCACTTCTGCCAACCCATCCGAGCCGCTGAGCAGCTGATCAAGCCGCGAACCGCATACGATACGCTCCAAATGGCACCATCGCAGGATCCGGTCATCCGGGCAGAATGGCTGCAGCGCCGAGGTGCCCACCTTGTAGACGTCGTGCTCTAGAAATGGTGGATTTTGAGCCTGCTGAATCAAAAGTACCAATTCGACTCTCTTCAAAACGTCGAGCCTCGTCGATGAGGTGCGTGAATGTCTCAATGTCGTCAAATGCTCCATCGGCTAATATCTGCAAAAAGAAGCGGTTCTTTGGCCTTATCGGGGGGACCAACATTTTTCCCAGGATCCAATTTTTCAAAGATAAATAGCGCAAGTAATGCGAATCTTTTTTACTTATCTAATCGTAAAACTTTCTAAATTTTGGTTCACAAATAGAAAAAGAGGCATTTTTCGAACAAAACGACCGTTTTGACCCACTTTCTACTTTGAAAGTTCTTGATGGTTTATCTAGTTTAACGAAAATTATATTCGACTAAAAGCACTATTTTAATACTTCCTATTAAACTATTTGGCATTTCCAGGCTCATACAAAAAATTTCCGTCTCCCCCCGATAATGCGATAGAACCAGGGTTGGTCACAAAGGATCCGGTCCGCGGTCCGGTCCGGTCCGGATCGGTCCGAGTGGATCCGAGAATTTCGGACCGGACCGGACCGGACCGGACCGGACCGGTCCGGTCCGGTCTGAACCCAGAGGACATGATTCAGGAGCTAGATATGGAAAATTTTGTATGCAAAATACTACTCTCCAAGAATTTTTTTTTTCCACATTTTTCCACATCTAGGCTACGATCCGTCGATTATATAGCCATAAATTAAGGGGGAATGAATAATTTTATACATTTTGATTAATCGAATTCCACATTGCGTCATTTTTTTTCGTACGCCACTCTTTTGCAATGCGAATTTGCATGTTGCATTTCCGTTTCTCCTGGCAAATCAAAACCCCTCGGTCCGCCACGGACCGGACAGGTCCGGTCCGGTCCGGTCCGGTCCGGTCCGGTCCGGATGGAAATTTCGGACCGGACCGGACCGGACCGACCCCCGGACCGGACCGGATCCGATTGGGGTCCAGTGTGACCAACCCTGGATAGAACCAAACAGTTCGGTCAAATTTTCAAAAAAAACGTACACTATCCGTTTTCTCGTTGGTCAGCTGGCTGAGTCTGTTGATGAATTCGTTATAGGCGCGGACATGGGTCTTCTCCTTCTCGTCGTAGAACATGTCGGTGATGAACGGGCGCGAGAAGTGGATCCAGTTTATTATCTGAAAAACATTACTTAGATCTGGCGGGGCATCAACAGTCTTACAAGTAGACGTTTTTGGTGACAACCGTGTTTCCGACATGGGACCGAGCCGTAATTTTGCAGAATTTTCCGTCGATCCCGAAACTGGTTTCAAAATCGTTGAAACCACCTGTTGAAACAAGCTACGAAGTTTGTACGCGCGAAAAGGGCTCAAAAAAATAGAATTTCAATTTTTTTTATAAATAGGCCCTAAGAATCTTGATAATCTCTAATCGGGTCGTTTCGCAGATCCGGAAAGCTGATCTGATAATTCTTGTAGAAGATAGGTTTGGTCGACTCGAAAATCGATTTTCACTAAAAACGTCTCCTTGTCGTTTTGACCCAATCCTTATAACCAGGAATAAGCCATACCTGCAAAAAGTACCACTCGGGGTGAGAAATATCAGAAGTCTTCCGGGACCCGTAGAAGTGAAATTTGAACTTTTTCTCGAACGGCGCGAACATGCTGTTGAAGGCGAGGTGGAAACTGAAAGAGATGAGTCAAATTGATTCTCAAAATTTCGACGCAATCTCAATTTCAAGTGTTTTACAACACTTACCCAGCTCCAGCCCGAATCGCATCGCCGTGCTCGATGATCGTGTCGACGAGCGGTTTCAGCCGCGGATTCGGCGTTTTCTGAGGGGCGCTGTAGGGAAATTTGGCGGTGAGCAGCTCCTTTTCAAACTCCTTGAGCGCCTTCTCCAACGGGGCCATATCGATTCCCTAAAAAGCAAAAATTCTGCAAAAGCATATTAAACAACCTTGATCGTTGCCCTTTGCTTTAAATTATCCATCGTGCACCCGGAATCCTCGCCCTGTAAACACAATTTTAGCCCAGAAAAACCCAAGGTATCTTGTGATCAATATTGAGTAAATAACATACCTCTAACAACTTGGAGATGCCCTTTATGCTGTCCAAAAGCTCGAGCGTAACTTCCTCCGGATCGCCCTGTCTCGCCACTTTATCGAGCTTCTTCGTGTTCTCGGCAAACTCGGCCGTCATCTTTGACGTATTGGCCTTCATTTCCGTTAATTCCTCCCTCGCTTTCGACAGTGCTTCCAGGCTAGTTTTCAGCTCCTCAGAGAGAAGCACCTGGAAAATCCGCACTTTGTAGGGGTTCTTAGGTAGATAGAAAACAGCAGAAGCGCCAAAAAACCTCAAAACTATTACCTCTTCGACTTCATATTCCGATAAATCCTTGTCAAGGGTCGCGCGAACGGCGCGTAGATCTGTCAACAGCTTGCGCGCATCATTTTCGCACGCGTTCACCGTCGTCCGGATTAACTAGAATATTAAATTAGCAAAATTATTGGCCTAAAAACTCACATTGTTATAGGAAATCGACTCCGACATGGCGGATGGCCGATCGGGCCGAGGGGACGAGTTCGCGTTTCCTGCAAGAACATAATTTTATATCTCTAAGGTCGCTAAAGAGTAATCAAATAATGAAAATTAGAATTATCCCTTTTAAAACCTAAATGAAAAGCTTGCGATTGTTAGAAGACCGCTAAAAAGTGAAAAAGTCAAATGGAAAGTAGAAAATTACGGTTTTTTCGCTAAAATACACGATAACGGGCCATTTTTAGCCAGATTTGAACGTTAAAACATGGTTTTTATTGCAAATTCGACGATTATACGAAAGAAGAAGAGAAAGATGAGAATCATTGAATTCAACCATATTTCTAGCCAATTAAAAACAAGATTTGCCAAAATCGCCAAAAGCTCGAGGTGAAGGCGCGGCTCATCGTCTTAGCGGTAAAATCTGGCATTCTTGGCAAGAAAGCTATGGATTCTTTTATATAAGCTTCAAATCCGGGATTCATTGTCAAGTTTTTCGGTCCAGAAATCGTCACGTAATGGGACTGACGATGCCCCGAACCCCAGTTCTTTCAGCAACCCTGGGCGCCCACAGACACGCGCGAGTTTGAAGGCCACAAAAACACCCACAGGATCTCAATTCCTGGCATTTTTAAAGGTATAGCAGCAAGCGGAAATGGAACGAAACCGCTATTGGCCGAGTCTTAATGCGTTAAAGGTTACAAAAGCTTGCTAAAATAAGTAAAAAAAAAAAGTTATTTCCAAGGGCCGTTTGAGCGCAATTTCTGCATTTTCTATTTGTGCAACTCGACTTGGTCTAACGAATTTGTAAGCTTCAAATAGAGAAAATAGAGTAATTTAAAAACCTCATTCGGGATACCTTGGCGTCAATCCGATCCAAAACCAGAACATCCTGTTGGCACATCTGGCCTTTGTTTCCCTCGTCTCTCTCTCTCTCTCTCTCCCACCCTTCCCCAAACAGACAAATTTGAATATGCCCCCGGGCGCTTCGATTTGCTTTCCGGCCCCTCATTGCTAGGCAGGCTGGCGAAACCGGTCTTTTCCGCTTGTACAATTGTAATAACCATGTCCCCTTCAGGCTAAAATAAGTGCTATAGCTTTCTTATTAAACGTTAATTTATGTGCAATTTCTTTCCATTTGTTCCTGTATATCCAGTTTTCTTCCGGAAAATAGTGTACGCTACGGAGTGTTGGTGAACAATAGGTGTCTCCACCCCAGGGGGTGCACGTTGTCGCACAAATTGGCTTCAATCTGGCTCGCCGCCTTGACTTTCACTCGAAACATGGAATATACAGTCGAAATATGCCACTCGATTGCCGAGATTGGCCACCATTTTTTTTTGGTGTTTCGTGGAGTTGTTTGCTATACCCGAATTTTATGGTTTTCATAATGTCGCAGTTTATCATGGCCAAATCTTCCGGAAAATCCTCAAAAATACGGAGTAAAGTTTTCGAAATTATGAATTTTTGAGATGATAAAATTCGGCACGTAGGTTTCGTCATTTTCTAAACACGCGCATATAACGTGCAATTTATTCAGGGGAAACGCCCGATTGTATTGCCCTTTTTAGAACATCTTTTTATGTATGTTCTTTCTTTTTGATTTTTAAAACATGGTCTTTTTACGTTATAGACATTTACAATGGATCGTCTACGAGGAAATTCGGATCCGATCAACGAGCTTTTCTTTATTTTATTCTTCTAAATTTTTACACGTTCTTTTTCTTTTACAAAAACGTCGTTTCTCACGTTAAAAACATCCGAAATAGTCATTTTACGGAAAACCCTCTTCGATCAATCGCCATAAACTTTGCGATTCTTCCCGAATCATTTTCCCGTCGTTCCAAACTTTTCGTAAATGCGATTTCCAGGCGATTTGGCGCGAACAACGCGCCGCTGGAGGGAATTAAGAGTTTTGTGGTTGGGAAAAGAAGAAGAGGATGAGGGAAATGTTCTTGTTGTTAGTTGTCAGTCAGCTCGAGTCAAGGTCATTTCGATTCGCGCACTAAAAACGTCGCAAAACCTTGGCATAAAAGCGGGAATTTTGACCCTGATTTCGGTAGTTTTTTTGCGGCTGAACGAACTTTGCCTTATAAACTTTATTCTACCCCCGCCGATTTCTGATTAAATAGTGAAACGGTTTATACACTGTATTTGTGCTATCCTAAACCAGACTTTTAGAACCTTTTCTAAAGCCCAAAAATATAGATTTTCCTACCGAAAACGGCCGATTTTCGTGTTTAAAATGTCGTTTAAAAAGTGTTTTAAAGTTTTTATGTAGTTTACGATTGAAATAGAGGTCGAATTTTTATAAAACACTATGAAATACTTTTTATTACGTCATGCTAGGAATTTCTAGAGTTATAGGAAAAATTACGTCCCCCCGATAATTCGTAATAACCGATGTTTCAATATTTATGGCAAGTTGCGCGATTTTTCGAACTAATAGTGCGGGTGTTTATCATCGCAAAATTATTATTATTTATTTATTTATTAATAATAGTATTTAATTATTCTTATATTATTATTCTTTACTTTAATACTATAATCTTATTTTGAAGCGCTATTTTGAGCCGGAAACCAGCTGGCTGAACACCTTTTGCCTCGATTTTTAGTCCGGGATGCACCTTTTGACAGTATTCTTGGCTGTCGAATGTTTGTATTGGGGGGTGGTTGGCTTTTGTATGAAAAGGGATCTGACCGACAGACAGACAGACAGACAGACAGACAAACAGACAGACAGACAAACAGACGACAAATAGGGGAGGGATTGGGCCATTCGCGCAAACAATTCCCCAGCCCTCAAAATCTGGAATGGAGGCTTTTCCCCCATGGATTCGGTCTTTTTGGGTATTTTTCGAGCGGTTTTATTTAAAGATATTTCCTTTTTTTTGTATTTCATTTTCCGTATTTCCCGAAGTTAATTTTTATTAGTTTGATTTATTTGAATTTTTGACTCCATTAACACAACATTATTACGTTACCACGGTTTTGCTCAGTACTCGTTCAAAGCTGAAACATATTTTTTCTAAAAAATCTTATTGCTGGAAGCTCATTTTGTAGCCTTTTTTCCATAACAATACTATGGACGGGCAATTTTATTGTCTTTTTTGAGTGGTGGTGATGATTTTCAAGCATCCATTTGCCGGGTGAAGGGCGGGGCGATACGATTGCCCGCCCTATGAATCATTGTCGCAACCGTTTCGCTTTGATTCGCGGCTAAAGTATTACTTTGGGAGCTGTGGAATTTTAGCCTCATCTCTCTCCCTTTCTCTCTCTCTCTCTCTCTCTCTCTCTCTCTCTCTCTCTCTCTCTTTCTCTCTCTGTCTCTCTCTCGCGCGCTCGCTGTCTCTCTCTCTCTCTCTCTCTCTCGCTCTCTCTCACTAAGCACCTCCCCTGCCCCCTCACTCCCCCGCTAATGCACTAGCTCCGAAAATTCGGCCGCGTCGCAGTTCAGCCGCTTTGGAATCCCTTCAAAATCCTAAATTCGAGTTCTGGGTGGTATTTGGAAGGGCTTGGCCAAGGGCCAGGCATCTGTTCTGTACGAGCTGCGAGGTCCGGGGGATTGTTTGTATATTCTGTCTGCCGTTCTCTCTCTCTCTCTCTCTCTCTCTCTCTCGCTCTCGCTCTCTCTCCTTCTAATTGCTCTCATATTCACACAGAGAGCGAGACAGACAACTTCTCCTCTTCTTCCCCCTCTCATTCGCTGCTTCGCCCATCGATCAATCATCGTTTTCTATTTACTGTCCTCGTCGCTTCAGGGCAGGCTAGCAGTTTTTATTTGGGAAATTAGATAGACCTCAAAATAATCCGCTGTCGGCAACTTAGCAGAGATTTTTTGGGAACAGAAAAACGGGGCAGGCTGACAGAAGATCTTTAGGACCTTCAGGCTCTCCCTAGGGAGGCTGGCAGAGACGATTTAGGAGGCTCTGGCTGGTTTGGCAAGCTAGCAGAGACCATTGGGGAGCATAACTAGCGCTCCGAAAAACTGACGGCAAGCTAGCAGAGGTTCTTGCGGAACTTCAGTTTGTTGTTTGAAAGAAAATGTTTCAACTTTTTGCACGGTGGGGGATCCGGGAATCGATAGATATTGCAGTAATTTTTCCGCGGGTTACAATTTTCGTGCCTTGACTTCTTAGATACGTCTATTTTATTGTAGGTTTGATGATTTTTATTATTATATTTTAAGTTTTAATTGTTTTATTGCTGGCGTTTTTTTCAGGCTAGCAGAGATTTTTGGGACCAGAAAAGCCGGGCAAACCAGCAGAACGCGTTTAGGGATCAGGATTTCCGCCGGGGGAGGCGAGCAGAGACTATTTCGGAGCGCTAATCTTTCACTTGAAAGTAAGACTGGGAAAATCAGGGATTGTTATGGATTCATTTTTTCAAAAAATCTGTTTCAACTTTTTGGGTGACGGTGGTGCGAATTGATTGTTATTACTAGTGCTTGATTGTAGTGCTGTGCATGGATTAAAAGTGTTTCATTTAAAATTTAATTTAAATTAAATTAAAAAGTTGAAATGCTTATTTTTAATTCCTTTTAAATTGTAATGCAGATGCGAAAACTACTTTAATTTTATTCTTTTTTCAGATGGACGCCTCCGCATTAATATTCCTGTTATTGTTTTTAATCGAAGGTGTCTCGACCACGAAATGCTATCAATGCGTCACCGACACCATGTTACATGTCAGTTTACAAAAACAAAAGTAGAAATCAAGTTCATTTTCTAGTTCCAAGATTAAGAAATCAAAAGTCGATGTATTAAGTGTTTTTGCTAGAAGTTGAAAATTAACCATAATAGCTTAAAAATATACTAAAATAAAAATCGCTAAAAATTGTGATTTTTCAGAATTGGTCCCGTTACGGAATGCCGATGCGTGGCGTAATCGAAGAGGTCGGATCGAAGCATTGCGTACACGAGGAAAACGTCACACAGGTACGGTAGGGCTCGAAATAATTGTTGTTAACTAGTTTACGACATGAGGCTATATTCCCGGCTCTGGCCAAAATGTTAGATAGAATTTTCTCGAAACATGTTTTTTCAATGATTTTTAATTTTGAAAGAATTTTTGCGAGTTCAAGGTTATTACTACTACAGTTAATTGAAGAACGCGAGAAAAAAATATTCAGATACCGATTAGTCTAGAATTTTTTATTGAAATGATTGAATTGAATTGAAAACGATTGAATTTGAAATGATTTAGATATTTAAACATTTTTAATGGTATTTCGACTAAAACAACGTTTTTAGCAGCAAGGAACATTTTTTAAATTATGAAAGAATACGGTAATTAAAAAAGGGCAAAAATTTGCTAGGTAGGAGGTCGGAGGCTATGGTTAGAAAATGTCTCTCAGAGAAAAAGGCTGTTGTTTTGCATAGATTTTGATCGAAACATAGATTTTAATGGCTGGCTTTTTGTGTGTTTACCGTAATTACATTATTGTGAATTGATAACCAGCAAAATTATTAAAACCGTATGGCCCTGGGCAATACCGTAACCCACATTTTTCAAAATTGAAAATTCTGCCGAAACGATGTCCTGCTCGTATTGAGAAACGAACGGATTTTTTTTACCGTTGTTTTGCCTGAAACATTGTTTTTCAGAGAATTTTGTTCTCCTAAGAAATATTAAATAATTGTAATTGAATTATTAAAAGTAAATTATTGACATCCTGAAAGAATTAAACCTCTTGACCTCAAATTTTCAATAGATTTTGCCCGCAACATAATTTTTTTGAAGGATTCTTTTTCTTCAGGTGGTCGAATGCAAGGGGCTGTGTCTGACGGTGAACGTCAGCGGGGAAATTCGCGGAAAATTCCATCCGCATATGGGTAACGAGAATTTGTAAAAAATATGTAAAGGAAGAACAAAGCCGAAGCTTGCAACTAATTAGAAAATAGAGGAGTCTCACGATGCGTTCGGCTCATTAAATTCACACATCGCCTCATGGAATCTGAATTTTTTGAAACATTTTTTAACAATAAAACAGATTTTTCTATATATTAGTAAATCGGAATGTTTCATACATCTTCAAAAATCGAGTGTTTACAGGAACGCTGCGGGATTGTCACAAATTCTGGCAGCAACCGGAAGAATTGGCGGAGGGGGAATTCCGGAATTGCCATTCCAGGGTCAAGGAATTGAATCGGAGGACCACTGTTAATATTACTTATTGTTATTGTCAGGTAAGAAACAGGGAGGGGCAGGCTAGCAGGGATTCTTTGAGGACCCGCGTGAAACACGGCAAGCTAGCGGAGTCTCATTGGGAAATCCATGGGAATGGGCAAGCCAGCAAGGGCTTTTGAGGAAACTAAAAAATTTGTGCAAAGAGGCTGGCTAGCTGGGATTCTTTGAGAAATTCCAGTAAGCAGAGATTTTTTTTGTGGAAGGCTCAGATGATTGGGCAAGCTAGCAGAGCTCATTAGGGAAAAATAAGAGGCGGAAATGGGCAGGCTAGCAAAAAGTCTTCCGGAAATTCAAGGTAGATGCGGGCTAGCAAAGATTCCTTGAGGAAGTGCCGGAATTGGGCAAGCTAGCATGGATGTTTGAGGAATTTGAGGGTTCAGGGGCAAGCTAGCAGAGATTATTTGGGAATGGTGCCGCCATATTTTAATTAAATTAAAAACCCTCTAAAAATCGGTATATTCAGGGAGATTACTGTAATGGGATGCACCGTCTGACCTCGCCGACGTCGCCCGGCAATTCTCGGCCCGGGTTGAAAAGACGCTCATCGGCCAGCGTCAACTCCATTTTGCAGGTAAAACTTAATCTGTTCTAAACTATCAAATTTAAATTGATCGGTACATTTTTATATGCTGAAACACATCTTTTAAAAGGCGAAAGTTTGATGCCCACAAAAAGTTAAAATATTAATAAAAATAAATATGTATGAAATAGTTGCTTAAAAATGCATATTTAGTTCTTCAGGCGTTTTTGAGATATAAAGCAACGTTTTAAAAAAATAAAAACTATTAGCAGCGATTTAAATAAGAATAAATTGTTGTCGTTGTTTTAATCTAAAAAAAGCCCCTCAATAAACTAAGCGTTAAAATTTTTCTATTTTTAAGATCGTGCATTTTAACACTTTTTCTAAGACAAAGTTTATTTTTTTTATCTGAAAGTTTTAGTCGGTTCAAGAAAAAGAGAAATTAAACCCGATAGTTCTTCAAAAGGATTGGAAATTTTCGAAACACATTTTTCTTTTCCAGGGTCTCGGCATCTTTGCGGTGGTGGCGATTGGCGGGGTGATATTCTGACTGTTATGTGTGCGCTGCCAATAGGTCGTTTTAAAGGGACCGGCAAGGCCGAATCGATGACTTGTCGGGACCTTTAAAAACGGGGGCTTGGCCGAAAGCAGCAAAAATTAAAAATCCAATTTTGCGAAATTGATATAGTGACAGTTTCTTGCAAAATAATGAAATGTCCTACGTGAAATTACGATCTAAAAATTGGTTTTTAAATGCCAAAATTCCCCCAAAGCGACCGGCAGTGCACATTTTTATTACAAAATTTACATATTTCTACGATTAAAACAATTTCATTTTTACCAAGCTTTTTTACTTTTGTCGATTTTCTCTGAATGTTAACCATATTTGAAACACATGATTTTTATCGGACTCTCTTTGTGCCTCTCTCAGTCACCCCTAAAAATTCGGCCAAAAATTGAATGGCTTTAATAGATACCCCAATGCCTCATGTAACCTTTTCGTTTTATTGGACACGGAGTCACACACCTAGCATTAGCCCCCCACCAATTTTTTGGATATTAATTTTTTTACGAAACACACTATTTTACCCGTATTTTCCTGATTTTCGTTTTGCTGAAGAATCGAAAGACGTTGCAATAATTCGACACTTTATATTTTCAGATACCTTCCTCATCTTAGATTTTTTCTTAACTTGTTCTGTGATGACGATTTCGAGAATTCCCTCCTCCGGGTCTATTCCCTCCTCTGTCACTTTTCCCACATTGTGCTCGCATTTAAACGGGTCATTTTTACGTTCTCTTAATTCTCAGTGGAGTTTAATAAATTTTTATGGAACTGATGATTTTGCAAATATTAGTAGATATAGAAAAAGCGCTTCTTTTTATCTCACCATCTCTCTCACTCGCTCTCTCTGGGTCTCTCTCTCTCTCGTGCTAACTCTCACTATCTATCTCGCTGTCTCGCTCTCACACTCTCTCCTCTCTCTCTCTCTCTCTCCCTCTCTCTCTCTCTCTCTCTCTCTCTCTCTCTCTATCTCACCCTCTCTTCTCTCTCACTCATTCTCGCTCACTCTCTCTCTCCGCCCTCTCTCTCCCCTCTCTCTGACTCACTCAATCACTCATTCTCTCTCTCTCTCTCTCTTTCTGTCTCTCTCTCTTCTCTCTCTCTTTATTTCTCTCTCTCTCACACTCTCTCCCGCCCACTCTTTGTGACAAAACTGTGTGTTTCACCAAAATCCAATTTTTGCGAATTCCCATCAGCCCTTAATGCTGACGGAACTCTTTGCTAATAATTTAAGTGCTAACTTAAGGCGCATAATTTATGCTTACAAACACAATAATAAATATCCGATAATATTATACAGTCTTATACGACGTTGAGAAGATTCTGGAAGGAGCGATTGACTTGGTCACAGTAGACGACGTCATCATATGATGGAAGGGGAGAAGCGCTGCGGGACCCGTAGTCTGGGTAGTCTGAATTAAGCGGCTAAATCCAGCTCAGTTTACAGGTTTTTTGTGGATATTTGAAACATTCTAAAACCGGGACTCAAAATAGGAAAAATCGGCGCATAACTGGCAAGGCATTAACGATATGGATATTATGATTCGAATTCGCGAAATCTTCGAATTAAAAAGAAATTTTTGTTATAATTGTTGTTCATAACTTTGTTTTTGGTATAACTTTAAAACTGTCCGGCCGGTATGGCTGAAATCTCCTTATTGATGGAAAATTGGCTTTGCATGCAAATTACCTAAATTATCCGCTCGATCAACCCGAATGTTTCAGATAATACGCCATTGAAAATTCAATTTCCATTTTTAATGGAACAATTTGACGGTATTTTCGCATTATCGTTATGGGGGGTGTTGACAAAAATTATATTTTTACAATTCTAGAAATGCCTAGTTACATAATAGGCAGTATTTTCAGAAGGTTTTTACTAAAATAAAAAAATGAACTAGAAAAACTATCTAAAAACTGACAAATTGTTCAAAACCGCCATTTTTGCGTCAAAAAATCGATATTTTTTGTATTTTTTGAATAAAAATAAGAATTTGTAGAGTTTTTACGTTTAGGAATAGAAAACAAAGCAGTTTAGAAATGCGATGACGCGTACACAAGTCCGATGTCTAAAACGATCACAGCTGAATTTTTTACGAGTTGTCTGGTCGCTACGGTATTTTTTAACTACTTTTTTAGTGCGACTTGGATGGCGTTTAACCCGAATTAAATGAGTTTTTTTGCATAGAAAACGTCGAAAATCGGACAAAAAAAATTCCAGAATTCAATAGTTTTATTTTTGAAACACATTTCTTACCTGGGAGCTCCTCCTCATTTTCGTAGAGGATTCGTGGCGGTTGCGTGACGTGGAACACTGAAAATTAATATATAGATTTTTTGAAAAGAATATGTGAAATTTTGGTCAAAGTTTCACGGGTTGGGCCGTTCAAAAATGTACTAGATTTTTCTTTACAAAAATATGTTTCATCAAAATTTGACTTAACGTGGCTTTCCGTTGCATTAATGAAGAGTTACCAGCTCGGCCAAAATAATATTATAAGTTTTTGCGACTAAATTACACTAAAAAATTGTCAATTTTTAAGAATTTGTACGAAAAGGACTTGCAGGGTATAGAAACGTGGCGAATGAACTCAATAAAAGATGAAATTCCCATAAAACTGTGAACTAATATGAAACATCGAATTGCGAGATTTCTCGCGTTTCAGGAATTTTAGAGAGAAAACTTGACAGAAAAGGTTCAATAAATTCGCTCAATCTACTAATTTTTAAAGCATTTGTGAAATTGATAAAATTAAAAATCGTAAAAATACCAACTTGGACCTGGATGGAATTTAAAGGTTTCATCAATTTTGGAAACTCGAAAAAATTATGAATTATAATTTCACGACATCTTGAGTACCGAAAATTTATCTTCCAATATCCCTGGAATTACTTTTAAAAGGTCAATGCGGCGTTGATGATAGTACACAAATTGCTCTTGAAAACTATCTACAAATACACTTTTGAATTTAGGGATGGCGCCTTATTAAGAGGTTTTCATAAATTTTGAAAACTCGGCATAAATTGACACAATTTGTGATCTTCCCCACGCCTTTAAAAAGCTGCCACAATTTTTAGCAAAAAAATTGTTCCGAAAGCGGCCTAAACACAACTTACCCAAAATGTTAAGAAGATGGCAGATTAAGATGTTTCATAAATTTTGAAAACTCAAGAAAAATAGAGACCTGCAATTTCAAGAGCTGCACGGCTGCGTTAATTCTACCGTAGAAGTTCCTTGAAAGTTACCGTTACAACAGCCGATGCGAGTTTCGTAATAGTAAAAAAATTGCTCCCTGAAACTATCCAGAAAATTTGAGAGGTTTTATTGGAATTCGGAATTCCACGTCCCACAAATTTTTAAAAGAAAAAAAATGGATAAATCATGGTAAAACTCGATATCTCTTTATTACCGGAAAAAACACATTGTTTTTTCAGATTTTTTGGTTTCATAATTCCAATGTTTCATGCATCCTAACAAAAGCAAATTATAATTTACACTTAGTCCTTAGCGTCCGTTATTTTTCAAAATTCTTCTTTTTCAGTCGGTGAATTTTTTATTTTCCATAAATTCTTGAAAACCCGGAAATCAGTGAAAGGAATTTTACGGCATTTTTACGGTAAATATTTCCCAAAAAAACGCTAAAAACGCACCATTTTTGACATCTGCGCCGGTGGCTTCATTGTCGGGATTAATGGTAGGATGTGAGTGTACTCCCCGGGGTACTGGGTGACCCTGTTGAGCAACAGCATCATAGTAATATTTCAGGAGGAAGTAGACGACCAACAACATGAACAGCACCAGCGCCAGCAGGATGAATATTGTCGCCAGGGCCAGCCATGACTCAAGCAGCATTTTTCTGGTACTAAAAATTTTAATCAAAAATTTTAAAAAATCATGGGCATCGTGGAAAAGAACTTAAAGTTGTTAACCCGAAATTGAACTCACAATGCATTAAATTTGATAAGGCGCCAAATTTAACCACTGTAATAGGGTAATTAATATTTTAAAATCTCTCTAGTCATTAACGGAAGCAAATCCCGCGCAACTCTTGCGGTTTTTGGAACACAATTTTTCAAAGAAAGGCTGTCCGACCGGCATTGATCTTCGGGGAAATGGAAGGGGCTGGCAGTCTAGCAGAGATTATTTGACGGATTAGAGCATAGCAGAGGTCATTGAGGAAATCCAAACCCTCTTCAATATGAAGGGCAAGTTAGCAGAGATTCCTTGTGAATTTAGAAAGACAGGGGCAGGCTAGCAGAGATTCTTCAGGAAATTCACGGCAAGAGGCATGCTGGCAAAGATTCTATGCGGACTGCGCAGTGGGCAGGCTAGCATGGATCGTTGCGGAATAAGAAGAATCGAGAGCCGGATAGCAGAGATTCTTTGAAGAGTTAGAAAGACAAGGCAGGCTAGCAGAACTCGATTAGGAATTTCCCGGCAAGGGGGCAGGTTAGTAACGATTCTTTGCGGAATTCGAACAAGTGGGCAGGCTAGCAAGGAACTTTGAGGAATTTGAAGGATTACGCGGGCTAGCAAAGATTCTTTGAGAATTGAGAAAGACAGGGGCAGGCTAGCAATGATTCTTTGCGGACTCCGGAGAAGGGCATGCTTGCATGGATCCTTGCGGAATTAGAAGAATCCAGGGCAGGCTAGCAGGGATTCTTTAAGAAAATCCAAAATCAAGGAATCAAATATTTTCGTGTAGATTTCAGCGACGGTTCCCTTATAAGGAAGACGGGTGTTGTGGTGGAATTGTGAGCCAGGTGTGGGTATTTTGAAATACCTAATATTTGCGAGGCCTTCTGGAAGGGGCTGAAAGATGACGTTCTGGAGGGGGGGGGAATCTCCGTCAAAATCCCCCTTTAAGCCCCCATTTCTGAGGACGGATTTATCATCACCCCCCGGATGGGCAACCACACCGATTTCGTCGTGCAATCCGATCGGACGCGTTTTAAAGGGATAGTGACAGGAGGGGAGATTTCGACAGTAAAGGAAATTTAGGAAAGATTTAGGAAATTTAGGCAAAAATAAATCAAAATATAAATGCCAGTGACCGGCGATGGAGTATTATCATCTGGGCTATCATTCTAGAGAACTGCCTTTCTGAAGCACATATTTTTAAAAAGGTGTGTCTGTCTCCGTTTTGTCCGCTCTCTCTCTCCCTCTCTCTCTCACTCTCTCTCCCTCGCTCTCGCTCTCGATCTCTCTCCCGCCCTCTCCCTGTCTCTCTCTCGCTCTCGATCTCTCACCCGCCCTCTCCCTCCCTCTCCCTATCGCTCACTATCGCTCTCTCGCGCTCTCTCTCTCTCTGTCTCTCGCGCTCTCTCTATCCCTCTCTCTCCTTCTCTCTCACTCTCTCCCACGCTCTCGCTCTCGATCTCTCTCCCGCCCTCTCCCTGTCTCTCTCGCTCTCTATCTCTCACCCGTCCTCTCCCTCCCTCTCCCTGTCTCTCACTATCGCTCTCTCGCGCTCTCTCTCTCTGTCTCTCGCGCTCTCTCTATCCCTCTCTCTCTCCTTCTCTCTCACTCTCTCTCCCACGCTCTCGCTCTCGATCTCTCTCCCGCCCTCTCCCTGTCTCTCTCGCTCTCTATCTCTCACCCGCCCTCTCCCTCCCTCTCCCTGTCTCTCACTATCGCTCTCTCGCGCTCTCTCTCTATCTCGCCCTCTCTCTGTCTCTATCTCTCTCTTTCACTTTCGCTCTCGCTTTTTAAGTAAGTGTGCAAAAATTTCAATACTTTGCAAAGGATTTTGCAACCTGGAGACAATTTTACCAATAAAACGAATTCAGATGACTAGTATGTTTTACGCAACTCGGAGGTGCTTTTCAATTTATGAAACACCTTTTGCAGATAATTTCTGGCCGCCAGCGCCTATAAACATGATTCCATAATCCATAACAATGTTTCAAAAATTCAACTCATGTCAGCGAGGCCACAATCTTGAATCCAGATATGCGGGTGATTCGGAAAAAATTCTGGCCAAATATATCGAAAATGAACTCCATGTCAGTAAGGCTTCTCGAAATTCGGGGGTGAATTACAATTTATGGAACACAGTTAGTTATTTACACTTTTTTTGACAATTTCTCGACAAATAAGAAAGTTTCAAAAATTGCTACGACGCCAGCGAGTTTACAAACATTTAATTCATTCAGTTATCCTGGTGATTCCGAAAAGATGCAAAAGACTTTTACAACACCCAGAAAAACACAGAACACAAACGCACTCTGCAGTCGCGCTCCCGTTAAAACATTCGCGCCCTCTCCCATGGTAGAATTGATTCCGGTTGGCGACGTATAACTATCGTGCGCATTCCTAATTTGGCTTAGCAACTTGGTGAAACACATGTTTTTCCGAATTTTCCTAGCCGAATATTTTCAGTTTTCTTTTCCCAAAAAATATCCCCTCTAGTGTCGCGCAGTTGTATCCGATTCTCTTTCGAACAAGACCTCCATAAGAATGTTTCAAAATATTTGACTAACCACCGGAAATGGTGTCATAATAATGCGCGACTTCTCGGCCATTTTCTACGAAATTCTAAAAAGCATATGTTTCATAAAATACAATAGTAGGGGTAGGGCTGGCAATCACAATTAGATGTCACGTAACCAGGCCCGTACGGGAGCCGAGATTTCGGGGGCACCCACCCAAAAAATTTTTGGCGACCTCCCCCCCCGGTCGCCACTTTCAAAACCTTCGAAAATAGCGACAATAACAGCGCGGCAGGCGAAAAAATTTAGAAAACCGCGTTCGAAACGCTTAAATTCGTGTGAAAACACAACGGAAACGGAAATTTTGTTCAGCAAAAATGGTGCACTAATGACAACGAGCGCCGCAGGCAAAAAATTTTAGAAAAATAGGTTTTTTAGCAGTAAAAATCGTTTCGAAACAGTGACAAACAGCGCCGCAGGCAGAAAAATGTTTGCGAAAAAAAAACATAAGGGTCCCCCCTTATGAACTTTTCGGACCTCGACCGATTTCGGGGGCACGGTGCCCCCGGTGCCCCCCCTCGTACGGGCCTGCACGTAACCATCGCGAAGCATTTATTTTACCCGAAGGGAAGTTGGCTTCTTTTTGCATAAATCGGAATCGAAAAACTTTTGGATTGATTTTGTTATATTATTTTTAATTGTTGTCTATATTTTACTTTGTTTTATTACTGATTTTATTAATATATTTTGTCCGAGATACGTTATTGATTGCTTTCCAGAAATTCAAGGTTATATGTTTCATAAAAAGAATTAGTTAGTTTGGAGTTGAAAACGAGAATTAAACGTCTCGTCTTTCCGAATCCAGTGAAAGCTTGGTATCGAATAATAACGGGTTTTGGTTATATTTACTTTTAGCATTGGGATACTTTAGTGCTCTTTCCTTTTTCTTCTTTGTAAACTTTTTTATGTTTCAAAAATGGTATCTCAACTCGTAGCTACAATGTTAATATGCGTTCATTCAGTAATTTTGTGAAACACTGATTTTTTTTTTCTGATAGCCTACATACATCGTTTTGTATTGTGGATAAAAAATGTTTCACCCTTTGAAAATGAAGAAATGGTCCAGGAAACCATAATTTTCCAATGAACGTTGTCCATGGGCCATTTTTCCATTTTGACATTTTGATATATTTTTGCGCCGGTGTTGGCAAAAGAGCTAATTAGGAAAATTCCGGAAATAGCGTTACAGGGTAAAATAAGGACCTGAAAATTTACAGGAGTTAGAAAGAAAAAGAGCCCCGTGAATGAACCAAAAATTGTGTTTCAAAATTCAACTAGGTAAATAACCTGTTCCCAATGTACTGCAGCTTTCGCTTGAATCCAGATAAAGTCAATATAAAAAATGCAGTTTTCGCACCTACGGCTAGTAATTTTATGTTTCAAAAAAATGCTGAACCTTTCAAACACATTACAAACACGGTAGGCCATTTTAAAACAGGTTTAAACGGAAATTAAATAAAATGGTAAAAATCGGATTTTTAAGTCATTTTAATCTTATTGATAGTAATTTATTGAATCATTTCTCGTAGATACGCCAGCCCGATACGACGCTCTCTTTAATCCCCCTAAAATCAGCATCCGGGCCCAAAGTTCCGCTACAATCCGCTGTGACGGTCCACACCGGCTCGCTATGAGAGAGAGAGAGAGAGAGAGAGAGAGAGAGAGAGAGAGAGCGAGAGAGAGAGAGACAGAGGGAGAGAGAGAGTGAGAGAGAGAGAGAGCGGGAAAGGGATTTTTAGAAGATTACCGAGATCAACACCGAGGTTACGGTAATCTCTAATGACGGTCCCGAGGCCTGGAGGGGCTCTGGAAATAAATCATCCCTAAATCTCATCACTACGCAATACAACCTAATGACATTCCCCCGTATTTGCGCCGTTTTTTCATTTTCACGAAAGTTTTGGTACCAACAGGCCCGATAGGAACGAACTTGCCGGCTAAGCACGCAAACCAGGGTTGATTAATGAAGAAATTACTACTAATAAAGATTTGCTCTACATCGAGCAAAAGAGCCGTTAGGAGAGAGAGAGAGAGCGAGAGAGAGAGAGAGAGAGCGTGATAGCGAGAGAGAGGAGAAAGAGAGATAGCGCGACCCACATCAGGAAAATACTTCAATATAATCATACTTTACTATCTATAGTTTTGAATTTATCCTATCGTCCTACGTATTTTGCTTTTTTATTTTTGTTTTCGGAATTGAGTTTCGTAAAACATTCTCAAGGTTTATTAGATGCCGACAGCAGCATCGATAGGTTCATCATCTGTAGATCTGTTTGAACGAGGGGATGAGGATTTTCCAGCTTCTGAAATGATAGTTATTAACAGAGTTTCATGTCAGTTTTCGATATTTCTGTCAGAAAA